TGGCTTTCCCTCGCTCTCTGGCTTTCCCTCGATCACTGGCTTTCCCTCTTTTCGCTTTGCCACACTCCCTGGCCTTTCCTTGTCCTTTAGTATTTCCTCATTTTCTGTCTTCCCCTCATTTTCCAACTTTTCCTTGTCTTCCAGAGTACAAGCTAATTCTGGCTTTCCCGCATCCTGTGGCGGTTCTTTGTATTCCATCTTTCTTTGGTTCTCAGGCATTCCTTCATTTGCATCACAGAGTTTTTCCATGTTGAGATTCCCCTCCTTTTCCTGTCCTGGGAGTGGGAAGAAGAGGAGACAAAGAGGAGACAAGGGAAACTGAGGGCTTGGGGGTGGAATGCAGGTCTGGAAAGTAGTCACCTATCTCCCCTTGTCTGAGTTCCTTTAACCTGGCCTGGCCCTCCAAGTGTGTCTTCAGCCACACTCCTTCTCCCACCATTCCTCCCACACAGGTGAGCCAACCATTTCTCTCTCAGGCCCTGACATTTTCTCTTTGTTTGCTCAGCGTGGTAAAGTGTAAATGTGCTGGGAGGTGGGTAGTGGGGTTGCAAATTCTGTCCATGCTGTACGCTCCACACTCCCCACCACTCTGAGTCCCTGTCCAGGACTCCCTTATTTCACTGACCTGCAGAAATTCAGAACAAGTAACTCTTCCTTTTCTAGCCTTGTAGAGTGCTGACAACAAACACACAGAACTGCAGACAGACAGGAGAGAGGGGCTGGGCATTCAGTAGATGCACAAAAACTCTGGTCCCTTTTCTGAATCCCAGCCCTCCAAGTGTCTTCTATATACCATTTACCCCACCATTCCTCCCAAACTTTTCCCTGGCAGGGGCTACCACCTTCGATACCATCCTTCAGTGTGGTTGGGTGTGTGCAATATATGTGGTGGTGGGATGGGCAGTGGGGGAATGGGCACTGGTGACCTCAAATTCTGGCCAAGCTGTGCCCTCTACACCCCCCACCATTCCTGTCCAGCACCCTGCCCCCATTCACTGACCTGTGGGGACTCTGGACATGTTCCTCCTCCTTTTCTACACTTGCACAGTGCTGAGGACAGACACCAGACCTGCAGACAGAGAGTGACAAGGGCAGCGACTGTGCACTCAGCCTACTGAGGTTTCTTTCCTGAATCTGGGCCCTCCTCATACAACATTTCCCTCCCCTACCTCCCCTGAACCCCAGCCTCCATTACTTTTCAGGCCTCAGACTTCAGACCAGGATGCTTTCCAAATGGTTTGGATCTCTGTGTCCCCTTCCCCTGCAGGCAAGCCGCCCACCCTCACCCCCTTTCCGCGGAGGTCAGTATTTCCTTTTAGGTGCAGAGTGTGATAGGGGGTTATTTCTAGAATATGTCTACATTTTACTGTCGCACTGCAGGGGCGCTCCCCCATTTCAGGTCCAAAAGTGCATGGAGGGCGCACAGGAGGGGCGTCGAGGAGGCGGCGGGGTGCTCCCTCCCCACCTGCCCATGTCCGCGCTGCATCCCCCTCCCCACCGACCTCCCGGACCCCATCCCACCCCGCGCTGCTCCGGGTTCCTACTGCCATCCACCTCCACCCCAGCCCAGGGCCGCCAGCAGCGCCCACCTTCACACTGACCTGCGGGGCCCGGGGCAGGCCTGCGCCTCCTCGGGCTCGCCGAAGCCCGCTTGCCCCTCGCCCGCCGCCCGGGCAGCTCAGGGAGCTGGTTCCGCGCGGGCGATGGGAGCGGAGGGCGCAGGGACCGGACCGCAGAGCGGGCGAGCGGGCGGGCGTGGGGGCTGCTGCCCACGTCGGCGCCCAGCTGGTCACGTGAGCGCCGCGTCACCCGAGCTCGGTCCCCACCCCGCCCCCTCACCCCCATCCCCAAGGGACCGAGCAACCGCACACGGTGGGGGGGCGGGGTGGCAAAGGGGGAATCAAGGAGAGAGCAGGCGCCCGGAGGCTTCCCGACCGCAGGTGCTTTACCTGGCGCATCTCAGGTCCTCGCACAGCATCCCTCTGCGATGTACATCATTGCAGGTGTGACCGCTGATCACAGGAACGGTACCCGACTTTGCCAGGAGCGCTCAGCAACTGAGTCCCACAGGCTGCTTTCAAGACCGGCTCTGCCTGACTCCAGAGCCCAGGCAGTAGTGCCCGCCAGGAAGCGGCGCTGCCACCTTGAGTAGCTGTGTTCCTAGGCCTCGTCTCTCAGTCCACACGTGCTCTCTCCCTGAGAAAGTTCTGATCATTTCCCTCTAAGCACAGATGATTCTCAAATCTCCATCTCCAAGCTATTTCCTCCCCTTAGCCCCAGACCCTCTTTGCCCACTGTCTATTGGATAGCACTGCTTGAATATCCCCGAGGGACCTCAAAATCCACATACCCCAACCTGCTTTCAGCAACTTCCTTCTCACCTTCTCCGTTCACTTCTCTTCACACTTGAAACTTGCACTCCAATATTTGACCTGTTCTCATGTAGAATGTCAGACAGGCAAAAAGAAAAAAAAGAAGCATTAAGACATTTTTTTAAATGCACCACAGATGTATAGATTCATCATAACCCTTGGTTCACAACACTCTTATTAGTAACCCATGTTTGTCCCTTTCTCTTTCACATTTGTGAAACCACCACCCAGCCAGAGAACTAGAAAATTGCCAATATTGTAGCTTCTACTGTGTATTCTCTCTCACACACATACAGAGTATATGTGTGCATGAGTTTTTTTATGTGTAAATATGGGAAACCTCCATTTCTCTTTTGATTTGCAAAATGCCATATCTTGTTTACACAATTATGAATTATGTGTGTGACACAACCAATTCTAACTATTTCTGCTGCATATTTCTTATTTAGCAAAACATTGATCTTTCTACAACATTTTGCTCCACCAAAATGCGTATTCGCATTATCACCATATAACAAAAAATACTACCCTCAATGTTGAATTTTTGACTGAATTCACAATGTCATTCATAACAAGGCTGGATGTTTCCCTTTCATGAATATGACCTTCAAAAGTATTTGATCATTATTGTTATTATTCCATAAATTTGACTAAAATAATATCAAATCACTAAAACAGATTTTCTGTTTTAATCATCTGATGATGCTGATTTTAAGTTATCATCAATACAAAAAAATAAGTAAGCTATCATCAATAATTGTTTCCTGAGTTCTTTTGTTAATAGAGTCAACATATTATCAGCTATCATTCCTGTTTTTAAACATGGACACAAAAACTTGGAATTCAAGATTTGTGCAATTAAATTAGAAGAAAAATAGTTTTATTTAAATTAGAGGTTGTATTCATACAATGAAAAGTCAACACAACTGCAACTGTATGTACTAAATTAGCACATTCTTCTTAAAATAACTACTACCTGCTGAAGTAGATGCAAATGTTTCTTCAGCAGGTTTGTAGATTTGGGTTTTCATGAGGTCAATAATATCACTACAGTCCCCTTAGTGCATAGTAAATGCCAGCAAATGTCTTGTGCAAGTTAAATAAATGTTTATCACCAACTTTCTTAAATGAAATTTGTTACTTAATCTTCCATTCAATATGCACTTTCATTTCTTATTGAAAAATTAAAGAATCATCCCAACAATAAAATAAATGTAGATTTACACAGTGTGATAAATGACAAAACCACTGTACCAAGATTTTCATGTTCCACAGTAGGACAGCTCAGCCTTTACTTCCTATACATTTCACATAGAGTTAAACCCATTATTTGCCATGTTTTCCTCCGATCTTATTGTCTGATGGGCTAGCATTTTCATGCAATTTGGGTATCCTTGGCATGGATCATAGCCCAACTAGCTAGTCATACATAACCAGTGGAGGTAGCAGCATCATATGTTCTCACTACCACTTAAAACAAAAAGGAGTTAGCTCTGCAGCTGCTCCTGCATGAGTTTACTTCATTTTACCAGTGACAACCCTGCACATTGTCCTTGAAATGGTTATGTTAATTATGTTGAATTGGGAAAGAAACATTTCAAGTGTGATTAAATTAAGAATTTTGAGATGGGAGGGTATCCTGGATTATCCATTTGGGTTATAAATACAATTACAAGTGTCCTTTCTATGAGGGAAAGAAAAGGAGCTTTTACTACAGAAGAAGGCAATGTGACAACTGAACTAAAATGCTAAGCTTCTGGCTTTGAAGATGGAGGAAGGAGCCAAGATCCAAGGAATGTAGTTATAGAAGCTGGGAAAGGCAAGAAAAAATGGATTCTCCCCTAGAACCTCCAGAAGGGAAACCTCTCCTAGAAACCTCCAACAGCTTTGATTGCAGCCCAGTAAAACTGATTTTGGACTTAATGGAACACTCTTGGAAAAGAATAAATATGTGTTGTCTTAAGCTTTCAAGTTTATGTTTATTTGTAACAGTAGAACTAAAAAACTAATTCAAGTAAACAAGGTCTACTAAACCCATTCTGGCTTATTTTAATATAGATATCAGTAATAATAATACATTGTTTAAAAATGAAGATATTGAACAATTGTTAAACTACAAGGAATACAGGTCAACAGGTAACCCTTCTATCAAGGGAAAACCAGGAAGTATTTTTATCCTAGAGCCACCTGCCTAGTGCCTGGCACATAGCAAGCATTCAACTGGGTGTGTTTTCTTAGTTCCCTAGACAAGAAAAACCATATATGTATATATATGTATATATAGACAATGGTAGATTTACATGTAGTTGTGAGAAACAACAGAATAAGTTATCTTCTGCCCTTTACCCATTTACCCTCAATGGTAACTTGTGTAATTACAGTAAAATATCACAAACAGAAAAATAACATTGTTATAATCCACTGACCTTATTCACATTTCACCATTTTACATGCAAATATGAGCATTTGGTCATATGACATTTTATCATATGTGCTTCCCCAGATGGGATCTCACTAACCCCTACATCTATCTGAGAGGTGTTATCCCTCCCCCCCCAAAAAATGGCCAGCACAGGGGACATGATGTAATCAAGCCCATATGGTATGCCTGGCCCCCAGGTGTTCTACTGCAAAGTTCTTTTGCAAAGCCTCTTCTTTCTTGGTCACATTAGACATATTATTCTTGAGAAAATAATATATCATCAAAAAGTGGTATGGAGAATATATGAAATAAAATGAAAGGGATGATGGTTTTCTTTTTCAAACCCTCATAACTGATCTAGTGATTATTTTCCTTTTTTCTAAATTAGCAGAGAAATCACTCTAGTACATAGAAATGACTATGTACATAGGATACATAGAAGTTATACATAGTGG